GTTCCATTATTATAGTGAAGAGATTGTATGATTACTGTGGACTCAGAGTTAATCACAAAGAAACATTTAAATTAGCCTTTAGTGATCTATTTTTTTAGTTATCGTATTTTGGCCTCTGCAAGTCTCCACTGATAGTAAACCGTTTTAATATTTTTATTGATTCTGGTATCTCATTTGTGACGATTTTTTATTAGAGGATCTTAGGATTATTCCCGTCACTGTTAATATTATTTTCATTTTTTAAGGCCTTTAACTTAAAATGATTTGTCATAGCATTTAGATAAATTTTGACATCCCTTAATTTATACAATGACCTGCAAATCCATAAAGTCATCTATCAACAAGCTCAATTGGATTTTATTATTTAATTCGAAAATAGCGTATAAGTTGTGAATTTTTCTGGGATGCAGTACATGTTATTTTTATATTTCAGTTATGTATTGGGGGGAATCATTCCATTTAACGCCAGTAGAAGTCACCATTAGTATTGAATGGGAAATATTATCTTATTTACTCATTAACGAGCGTATAATTCTACGTGATTTTTATTTAAACTTACCATCAAAGCACTCTGACCATTTTGACTGGTTTGTAGCAAATTAAATTAGGTGATTTATAAAGTTTCATATTGGTTTTAAGAACGTGTGGTACAGCTAAATGTACTATCCGCAATTAAAAGTTAGCTTTCATCCATTATCGTCACAATGGCAGCCATGGCAGGATTGCATTAGGTTAATTGATCAGTTCATATAAACTTAGCACTCGTATCAACATCAAAGTGAATATACAGGGTACTCTCCCTCAGCAAATTTCAACAAATAACCCTCTCCATACCGAACCTGACTTTTAGTTTGATATCATAACGCAAGTGTTACTTAGAAAATAATTGAGTAAAAAGAATAATGAGGTACCAGTCCCTAAGGCTATGTCGATAAGAAGACCCTCGATAACAAGTCCCTCTTGATAACCAGTGTATTTTTCAAATCCCCTTGAATTTATTTTACCTCTAAGCACATGTTATTGCAAACCTCAATAAGAAGTCAACCTTGATAACCAGACTTATTTTATAATCCCCATGAGAGTCTTGTTATCAAGGTTCTACTGTAATTTCAATTTAAGGCTTTGAGTGATTTTAAATTGTAATGCGAATGATTTACAACTTTTTATTATTTGGCCATATTGGTATTTCTGTTAAAGAAATTTATATTTCTGTAGTGCGGTTTTTAAAAATTACATCCTGTAAATGTTGTGATTGGCATATACGTTTTTGGTTGTAATGTAAGTATTTTAGTCGTGACTAATAGTGAATTTCATTCTTACATCTGTATTTTTTGTTATGTAAATTACAAGTGAATTCACTATAATAAGTAGAGGATTTACAGCATTCGGAGTGCGTACTTTAATCAAAGCCGATGTTGAAACCGTTTCCAGTAGAAAAACTTACTATTCTTTACCACAGTCGTAGATATATAAAAAAACTATATGGTTTTGCAGTATTTGCAACAGAATTATTAATCTCTAAGATTATTAAATTAAATTATCTCTACGGTAGACATTAAATTTCTTCTTGTTACAGGTAAAACATCGTCACTGGTTAAATATTAGTCGTATTGAAAGCTACTGTTGCTACTCCCTACAACAATGTAGGGAATTATAGGTTTATTTCATACGACAAGATGTTAAACATAAGGTTTGCAAACATGAGGTAATTATTTGGGTTTTATATTTACACGGCAAACCCATATTTAAATATCATAGGCTTACATATTTGTCCAGACTAAGGAATGACGTTTTAAAATTAAATTCTTACATTTTACACCTTAATATGGCAATGAAGATGTAAGGCCGTGTACAAATTTCTCTTGTTGTTTAATATTTGTACCATAAACACCATTAAATTATCAACCAAATTACTAAAACTACATTAGTTCAATTTATAGTATACACATAACAAATCAATACCATTGTAGCTTTGGTTAATATTAATTCATAAATATTTTTAATCATATTGAATTTATTCTAACTAATTTTATAATAAATGTACTGGTTTAAAATAGAAAAATAGTTCGTTTTAGTCCTAAATGTATTTCATCTTATAGGATTTTAAATATTATTAAATTGCAGTTGAAAATAATTTTAAAGAAATTCACGATTTTCATATACATTTAACTACAATACTACAACAGAAGTATATCCATATAAAGATGAGGATACTTTCATACATAAATTATTAAAATAAAATGGAAAGAATCTAAATAACAGTTTAAATGGAGTTTTATTTTTATTTCCAATGATTTCAGTAGAATAAATGTTCAAATAAGCTTTGAGACAGTTTTGAATTCAATGCGATGGAAATTTAAGCGTTGTAACAATTACTGTCACCGTTTTTATCGGTATTTTAAATTTCCACTTTGTAAACTATATTTAGAGAGCATAAACATTCTTCAAATAGATTTAATTAATTAACTAATATAAGCTCTGTTATATTTAGGTTATTTTTAATTATTTTTAACAATGCTTGACAGTACACGATGGTGTGTGGGGTACTGTGAGTAATATGTAAGTGCAAAATGGTAATTGTCATAATATTTGTATTTTTTTAGTGCCTACAGCTGTGTTGCGAAAATACGTAAACTATACAATACCTGATAGTTTTACTTACATTCATAACTATACAATTTTGTTAACTTATTTTTGTTATAAAACACGAGAAACAGTAAGAATCTTATCAAAGTTCGCTAACCACAACTGAGACTTATTTTATGTCATTACCTTACCTGTTTTAAAGGTTCTTTTTGTCTTTTGGCTTTGGAAATAAGTTTCTTTTTCTTATGAATACAGTTTAAAGTAAGCGAATCATTTAAACATGTAATCTTATGGTCACATTATTTTCACGCGTGTACAACAATTTTTTTTTCTATGTTTACCACTTTATTGAAAAAAAGCAAAACTTAATAAAATTGATTAAGTAAGGTGTTGTAATAAGGACGCAATATTTTACATAAGCTTATGCTGTTTTGGAACAAGTACGGTACTGGAGTGTATTGAGGGATTACAGTTAACAATCACATTGTATTCATTGCTTTCTCATATTAACAGTTAAAAAGCTATTTACTTTAGTTTCACATAAAGATAATTAACCGTCCATTAGTTAACATAACCATTGCAGTATCCTTCCAACTGAGAACTAGTCCAATCTTTACAAACCGCTATTTAATCCTGATCACGCGCCGTCAATGGCTGTATCGCCGGGACTGCACTGCGCTTCTCCGTGACCATTCAATGTATTATTCCATGTCTTCAATTCATCCGTATCGTGCCATTGACGTTAAATCTGTTCCTTCACAACATTCAAGACTTGTGCATGCTATGTCAGATCAAATTTTCATACTCAGGCAAGAAGATTTTTCAACAAAAAGTAAATAAATTGTAATGACGATTGTTTGCATTTATATTTCTGGCATTGAGGTTGCCTCCAATAAAAAATAAAATGCTATATTCCAACCAAGCTACTGAATGTTTATATCTAACAAATCTTAAATAATTGTCATTTCCAACTAGGTTCTCACAATGGCTTGGTAATCATAAACTATACAGAACCATAGGAATTACGCTACATACAATATTATAAATTGAATGTAGGATTGTTAGGCCTATATGATTGTTTTCTGTATGCATAAACAAAGTAACCGGATAAGTAGGGAAAGAGAACAAGTCAAAGAATCTAAATATATAAAAGGCAAAGCCCTCACTGACTTACTCACTCACTCACTCACTCACTCACTCACTCATCACCAATTCTCCCACTTCCTATTTGCCTAGGAGGCTGAAATTCGGTACACCGATTCTTTGGGCATTAAATAGGTAAACCACGATTACTAGAAAAATACCGGTATGGATCATAAACATAAACAAATGACGTTTTTGGCCCGAAAATAAACATAATTTAACATTGCTTAAATGGAACTGCCAAAACATATGTTCAATGCTATTAGTATAGGATTCGGGCCAACAACGTCATTTTGTTTATGTTTATGATCCATACCGGTATTTTTCTAGTAATCGTGAGGTAAACTAAGTAGTTTTTATTCTGATCGGGCTTTCGGGCTCCGCCCCAGTGGCTCTAGAATTTCCCATGTTAACCTTATGATTTTTCATATTTAAAAGGAATTTCTTAACAGCTGTTTCAATTAAACAAGTTGGTTCTGTTCTATGATGTTCAATAGCATTAAAGTTACAAGGATTACCAACAGGGTGCAGCACTATAATTTTTTAAATTTATGACTACAGCCAATTTGCAACCAAAAGGTGAGTGAGCGTAGCGAACGAACTTCAACCTGGAAGCGAGTTAGCGTAGCGAACGAGCTAACCTGAAGGCAAGTGAGCGGAGCGAATGAGCTCCAACCTAAAGGTGAGTCAGCGTAGCGAACGAACTTCAACCCAGGACGTGATTGAGCCATGCGAACGAGCTCACTTATGAAGTTAAACGGGGCAACGCCCGCGGGTACAGCTAGTACTTGATAAAGCAAACTTTCTGATTCACAAATCACAATGTTTAGCGAATTTCATATTTAATAATAATTACAAAACCTATTAGTGTTCTATTTATAACATCACATATAAAATTATTTTGATGAATTACCCTGCGATTTTTTTATGTTACTTAAAAACTATGATGTTTTGTCTAAATCCAGAATCGCAATCCCCTGATTATCGGTGACTAGTCACCTGTCAAGTGTGCACTCATTACTGTAGGCCTGTGACTTTTCTTGTGTGCTTTTATGTTATGTGTCTTACCTATAACCATCCAAAGGCATATTTCATTCGTGAAGCAGAAGGGCCACTATGTGATACCAGGTAGTTTTAACCTATTTATATATATTTATTTGTATTAAGATGAAGAAAAAAACATTGTTTCAACAAACCATGCAAACTGATTGATATTTTATGGCTTTCACTTTACCTTTTTGCTCAAACAAGGTTTAACGCGACTATGCAATACCAAGTCTATAACCTAAAAGGAATTAATAAAAGTGTTTTATAAAAATATAAATGTTATTTTACTAACGAATAAATAAGCTAAACTTAAGTATTTGTTCTTCATAAAGACATTTTGTACTCTAGTTCTTTACAAACTTTAATAATGATTGTGATTCAAAGATAACATTAAACACATTTGTAAATTTTCATTATTGCTGAACGAATTTCAGATATTATTGCCTCACCTTCCTTCTTTGTTTCCTCTTTGTCAATACACTTCTCATATTCTTCCTCGTCTATCTTCAAAGACTTATCTTTTAAATCTATCAAAAACTGTTCAAAAGATTTAGAATCAAAATCTTGAAGTTTTTTTCTTGTATTTTGTTCATTTTCCAACCTTTTTGAATCATAGATATGATCCTCAGATATCTTACAAATTTGTGCTTTGTAGTCTTCAACTAATTTATTTACCAAGTCAGTTCTTTCTTTAACTTTATTTTCAAGGTCGTGCCGTTCTTTCTTTTTCAAGGAATTTTCACATCTATCTTTTATATTTTTTACATTCTTTTTACTCTCTTCATATTTTTCTTGATCATGAGTTTCACACCTAATATAGTCTTTGGTTTCTGTTATGTGCTTATTGTACATTTGCAGGACTTCTGCAGCTTCTCCGAGCCAAGACACCCTGTTACGTATATGTTCCCAAGCCTTACCTGCTTCGTCAGTAATTTTCTTGAGATTATTAATTATGTTGCTTGCTAGTGTATCTACACTAACTAAATCCACGTCTTTTGAATGACCAACAGACTGCTGGGTTTCTTTCTCAGACTGAATCTCATCATGTGTATTTGAGGGTCTAGCATTTTCTTCACTACCCTCAAGAGTTTTTAGATCCTCGGTGGGATACTTATGGGGTTTAACTTTGTCAGGTTTTGGCGCATTTATGAGAACATTTTCCGTTTGAATATCCTGGTGACTAGGGTTATCAGTTTCCACATAGTTTGAGGCTATTGCTAGACCCTTTTCGTCCGCTTTTTGCGCAAGCGTATTCGCAGTTTTCTTTGCAAACTCTTTTGGTGTAATAGTGAAAGCAGCATGTTGAGTTGATGATTTTGTAGATACATTTGGAACCAAGCCGTCTGTCTCTAACGTTATAGCAGATTCTTTCTTGAGAGGAGAATTTTGATCTACGATGGCATTTGTGTTAGTGTTGCTTATGGTTTGTTTTTCAACTGGCTGGACATCGATTACATGTACAGGTGTAATTACTGTAGTAAGGGGTTGGCTTCTGTACTGTTCTGTATGCGGAAGAGTTTTGTCATGTTCCTAAAAATAAAAAAATTCGACTATTAAAAATAGTTATATGATAACATTACCAGGATTTGAAGGTTTGCACGTATTTATTGCTATAAGCTATTCTAATAGAAATTTTGTCAATAAAATAGAAGCTTGGCCGGTTTGATGGATTTGCATGATTAAAGAATGTGACCTGTTCCTAACGGAAGTTTACCCATTTGTGTTTTGTATTGGTGAAATAAAGCAGACATGTGTGATAGCATAAACGATACTGTATTATAGTATTTTGTAATATGGTGCATTAAAGTATAAACCTGTAAATAATTACGAGATGATCAAAGACAGAATTAGTTTTTAAATAATGTTATATGCATCATTCATTTACTAGCTAGGATATATTGCCTGGTACCTGGTTTTGTGGAGGTAATGCTTGGTTGAGCGAGGTTGCAGTCTGTATCAGGGGTACCTCTGATTGAACGGAGGGGGTGACAGCTACATCTACCTACATCAAGCAAAGATTACATCACCTAAGTATTCATTTTATTATCAGATATCATCAATCTCTTGAAGTTGGTACTAATTACTCAGTTTATTTTGTAAGACATTTTTAAAATTGTAAATATCACGTCTGCTTTGACAACCCATTGTTTTAGTATAACGTATAGATAAATCCCAGTATAGTCAATTTCGCACAGAATTGTGTGATTTGTTAATCTTGCTATGACAAATGTTAACTAATTGTATGGTGATTAATTTTGGAATAGACACGAGCTAACATGAGGCCCATGCACAAACCGTGAATGTTAATAGGATTAAAAAAAACCTAATTCCAAGAATAAAATAATAATGCAACACGTTTTTAGATTTTACTTCTCAAATATCTAGATCTACACCATGAGGGCTGAAGAGTTATAACTTAAAGGTTAAAATTATAAAAAACAGCCTATTTGCAAACCATTTGCATTAAGTTTTTCCTCTGTCCCTTGTTTAATCTGATTGTGGTTACACACTCAACTAAAGGACCAGCTTTTGGATTAAAATACACTGTTATAAAGAAAATTGGTCAGCAACACTGAATGTTTGCAAATTAACTCTAGAAATAGTGGAACGCAAGGGGAGTTAAATTATTACCTATTTTCGTAACCATTTGGAGGTACAAGATAATATTAAATATTTATATAGATTTTGATTAAAGATAATATTATGGATACCGACTACGTGTGTACCATGTGTATTTTGTATAACTGTTCATTAGGTCCAAGCCATGAAAGAATATCACATAAACATGGGTCTAAAATGCCTGTGTTTTTTTTTTTTTTCTTACCGGATACTTTGAATACACCCTGTGTGTTTTATCTGGATATAGAATAGGAATCTAAGCAGTATATTTATATTTTCAGTTAATTACCTTCGCTTCTTTTACAGGTTGTTGGTTTTCAGAATTCACTTCTTTCATTGTTACCACTGTGTCGCTTGTTGAATCTTTAGAGAAGGCAGCTACAGGGTTGATGGTCTTTGATACGGACACGTTGATCTGTGGCACTTGCTCCTTCATAACAAACGAAATGATTTATTGACTAAGACAAGTAGAAGTTGTATTATATGTTCTAACTAAACAAGTGAATTAGTTTTATAGCGTGTTTGCTATTAAAATCACGTTGGTAAATAGTAAACTAAACTTATTCTTGGTAACTTTCACTTTAATACAAGTGAAAGACAGGACAAGAGTAGGTAAGACGTTAAGCCAAGACGTAAAATAACATAGATTATTAATTTCCAAATATGCACACGACAATGAGGATCTACAACATACACTCCTCCACGTAATGTAGGCAAAACAACAGTATAAAAGGCAGATGTCATTTTTCTGAATTATAATTAAAATAAATAGCTAAAAACCAACGGTTGAGGGTAATACGGGGAAATTGTAAAAGTTTATGATTATAATTTATAAAATAATTTGATTATTTTTAAGGCAGATAGTCATATCTTTGCAGGAAGATATAAAAAGCTTAGGGTTGACAAAGGAGGAACGGATATACATTTTTTCACTGCCATTTATTGTAAAAATATTCATCGAGGTACTATCTGTTCTGTTGAGGTAGCCTGACTGTTCTTGTAAACTGAGTTCTCATTTCCTAAATTTAAATAAAACAACCTTCTATCACAATCTGAGGTAGAGAATGTTGGTGGTGGTCATAAACTCGGGATCGTTTGGTTTCTTTTGGACCTCACCCCTGAGTTGTACGATTTGTACAACCATACATTTTTGAGCACTTTAAAATTAAAATATATAAATCTTTATTATATTGTATCAATTTGAACATCTCCTAATAGTCTACTGATTCTGCTCTCATAATCATCCATTTGTACAAATGTAATAATAAGTTAATTTTGTAACAAACAAAAAATATTTTTACTATATATCTTCTTTCTTTTTTTGCTTTTTTCCTACTTGTTTTTATAAAACGAGTGTTATTTATAGCAAACTCGTTGTTTCTTTCATGATATACTTACTAAGTTTGATCAATAACAGCCTACCCCTGTTTTAGATGTCCTGGGTGTACTGACAGTTTCTGGTTCGACGGAAGACGGAGTAGCTACAGGCTTGATCATGTCCACGACTGATACGTTTTGTACTGCATCCTAAATAAATGACAATGTCAAACTTTAATAGCAATACATGAAAGGAGAGTAATTCCTGACTATCTTTTCAACAATTAAACTGAGAAATCGAAATAAAAATGTTTATGCATTATGTAAATCTGATTATGCATATGTAAATCTGAATATGAATGCAAGGTAATTGTAGAATGGAGTGAGATGATGTTTACAGCCTTGTTACTGTCTAATATCAGCCGTTCCAACTCAGAATCATATAACAGCCTAATTATAAAAGGTCGCTTGGATCAGTTTTGAATACCAGTTATCAAACAATTACTGATGTTTATCAGGATAGAACCATCACTTCCAATTACTGTAGTCGGACCTATAACTGCATGTTCATGATCAACGATCACAATAAGACATTTGGTCCTATAATATACAAACAGTTGTAATATAGGTGAAAATGGTAATGGACTAATGGAATAATCGTTTTGAAATAGGCTATTAAGTTAAAACAAAGAACTTTAATTTTTTTGATATTCCTAATCTTGGTTTTGTCCCATATAAAATAACCAAATCTGCAAACGTATACAGTACTATTCATCTCTTTTATACATTTGATTGTAGACTGGAGGAAAACACAGAGTGCCGAAGAAAATTTTCATTATTACTCTTTCCCGTCATAAATTCGTCTAATTATGATTTATTTAATCAACAATGGCTCATTAATTTTATTATTGTTTCGACATGCTGAGCTAAAGCGCGTACCTGGGATGGTGGAGGCTCTCTTTGTTGGCTCCGTTTCTCGTCTACTTGGATGTGTGAAGGCTGTTCTACTGCATTAGCAGCCGCTGATAAACCAGGTGTTTTGGATATCTCAGCCTCTTTGTCTTTATTGCCCTAAGACACGACTGTACTTTAAAACTTCATTTATTGATTTTATTTCAATAATACAGGGCATATTATCAATTTGGGAAACCTTAAACTTTTAAAACAAATTGTGTAACCTCAACATCTTAATGCGTGGGGATCTAATTTTATAGAAAAAAAAACAGACCAAAATTATTTACTAAATAATAAAGACGGACCAATTATTGACTCTACTAAAGTTAATTACATCAAGAACAATATTGTAATATATCCAAAAATTCTTAAGATGTTTTTTTCATAGATGATTGTTTCATGTATATGTTTTCAAAATTCTGTATTGTAATTATAATTATAATTCCTAGTTATCATTATTATAATTACAGTATATTATATATTCCAACTATATTTTAAATTAATTTATTATTAAGTCAATATTTACTTTTTGCATTAGTTTTAAACACAGCCTGAAGATAAAACATCGTTTTCGAAAGCACTTGTGGAAATAAAAAAATATTATATATTGATCTTTTAACCTTAATCTTTAGTATTACTTTACATTTACTTACCAATACTGTATCTCCAACATACGTTGTAATGGATTTTTGTGTTAATATTTTATCGTACGACTTAAAATCATTTTCCAATTTGCCATTAACACTTTAGCTTTAAAATTTAACATATTGTTTACGTGTCGTATTCTATAACTTAGGATATTTTATAAGATAAAACTATAAGTACTATTCAGAATTTAGATGCTTTCTTATATACAATACAAAAATGTGCTTAATGTAAATGTGTTTGCTAACATTAATATACCTCCATTTACGGATAATACTTTTTATTTTAAATAAAGAGAAAGTTTTGATATGCATTTCATATATTTTATTAGACATATAAAGTGTTTTATACAATTTATTTCTAAAAACGTTCAGCAGTAGCATGTGAGAGGCATTTCATATTTAATGACTATGTCAGTATAATATTACAAAACTATAGCATAACTAAAGAATTTTTACTGACAAAGTAATGTAACAATGTATTTTACTTCCTGAAATAAACATGATTTTAATTTTTGATTTATTTCTTTTTTTACACACAGCAGTGTTATAAATATGTTATTTGTCTTGTAATCTTTTTATTTTACACCAAAGATTTACAGCATTAGTATAACATAATAGAATAAATAATTAAACTGCGTGACAACTATTGGATAATAGTAATTAGCTACTGTAATAGTAATTGGCAGAGCTCCATCTCTCGAGGCTATACTTTGACCCAACATTGTCAATGTCAAAACCATACGACCTAGTTGGTTTGAACTTTGAACTTGTTTGTAAAAGTTCTTTAGTCCTCACCTAGGTCTGAGATTAAGAGGCAAGGTAATAGAGTCAAAATGTAATACTGTGTGTGTGAGTGCGTGTGTGGATCGGTGTCGTGCCACCTCGTCCAGATTTCACCAACGTGTGGCAGGGGTTTGGTTCTCTACCCATTAATCTGTGCTATATCGGCCTATGCTTTGGTTCACTTGAAATATCTCTTTTTTATTTATTAGATGATTTAATAGTTATGATTATTTTCTGTGCCTAGTAACAAACAAAACTCATGTAAGCAGGTAAATTCAAAGTGAGAACGGACATGAAACATATATATATATATATGTCGTGCGATCGACAACAACAGTCTAACAGCTTACCTAATAAATCAATCGTTAAATAACTTTAGTCGATACGATTGCTACAAATGAAATTTACAACTGTAATTTTTTGTTACTTATTTATTGTACTAATTTTATTAGTTTCTTGTTGTTAAATTTATTTTAATTTAGACAGACCGAAATGCCAATACAAATTTATAATACAGTATCTTCTTTCATCAGTAGGTAGGAAGAACAAGTTTACATTCTAATAAATTGTATTTGCATTTGAAAGTATACAATTTTCAGAACCAAATAAAGTGTTTCTTCATGCACGTTATTTCGTATTTGTTATCAAATATATCTTCACATTAATCCCTATCATGCAAATGGGTATGACAATATTATCCGTTATCATTAGGTATATGTGTGTCTGCTTTAAATTTACATTTTTATAATGTTGGCAAAAGTGTTGTTATAATCACTCTAATCACTGTAATCGTTTTCCTCGTGTGTTTATAATCGTAATGTAGTTAGTTTGCCAAATCTGGTACTTGGAGACTCCAATATTTTTGGCAGAGAATATTGTTGAAGCTGTAAAACATTACCAAGACTTGTTATGGGTTAATACGTTGAATAAAAGACCACAAGAAACATCTTCAAAATATAACTTTATTAAATAATGTGTAAATATTATATTGAACATAGTAAATTGAGTTATATATTATCAGCTTTATTGAATTGAAATATTAACAGCAAAACATTAGGAATACAAACGTAAGAAATAAATCTTTAACAAAGTAAATAAACGATAAGGTTTAATTCTATCCTAATTTTTAGCTTTTCGTATGTGTTTTTTAAGTAATATTATTGATTATTGGCGTTAAGAAGAAACATTTTTTCGCACCAAAGAATCTTGCAAGCCCATAGTTTTTTTAAAGCTATTGATCAATCGACAGTTACGTACTTTTCCTAAGCTATTGTTTTAACACAGACCTAATAGAACGAACGATACACACACTCATTGTAGTAATACAAAGCAGTTTACATCATACAACATTTGAGCTTTAAAATCTTTTGCGTATATCATTCAATTTAATCACTTAAGCACCAATTAATCAATGAATAAAACTTTTGAAATAGTTATACTTACTTGATCAGCACTAGTGTTTTCTTTCCCCGGATCGGAATACTGAACAGCAGATAGTGTATCAAGTTGTTCGTTGGTAAAGGTCTCCGCTTTTGAAGGTTCGGGGATTTCCACTTGGTTCGGATTGGGAGAACTCTGAAGGGGTAATCCTTGGGCCTGCATCGTAAATGTTTAAACAAATTGTTTTACTATAATTGGCCATGAAACAATAGCACATAATAGTACATGAAACATGTATACTATTGATTCATCCTTATATCAGGTCAGTACTCTTTAAAAACGTGTTTTACATCATGTATTAAATTGGGGATGTGATTTTTTCTAAATGTGATTACTTATATTACAACCCTATAGGTTTGGCACAGGGTTATGGGCAACGTTTGATATAGAAACAACTATTAAATACTGGGTGTTTCAAAAATCAGTTTACTGAGTAAGTGTATTTGTTTGATAATTTTATTTATATAATAATTTTATGAAACATAATTTACACTACACATAGGTTGAAAACTTTAAATAGTTGTTCAAAATTCTTTCCACTTACTTCAATGCATTTTCACAGTGTTTTTTTTTTTTTTTTTTTTTTTTTACAATTGTAACAATCTTTTTCCATAAATTTTTATTGTTGTAAAACATCTTCAAAATATAAGTTTGTCGAAGAATTTTTGGATATTTTTTTGAACATAGTGAATTGAGTTATACACTATATGCTTTATTGAATTGAAATATAAACGGTAAGACATTAATAATACAAATAAGAATTAAATATTTAACAAAGTACCTAATGAAACGATAAGGTTTAATTTTCTTTCATAATCTACAGCTTTTCGTATGTATTTTTTAAAAGTATTATTGTTGTTTATTGGCTTTAAGAAGAATCAAATTTTCACAGCGTTTTTTTTTTTTATTATTGTAACAATCTTTTTCCATGGAATTTTATTGTTGTTTAAGGCTTTAAATTCTCTTGCGAATTGATAGGCCCCAAGGTCCTGCGTTCTTACACCATTAGACTTTTCTATCTGGGGTATCATTAAAAACAAAGTGTTTACCAAACGGCCCCTAGTTGTTCTGCAATTGAGAGCAGCTATCGCTAAAGAATTTAAATTCTTAACAACAATAAAGATGTAACAACCTATGTGTGGTGTAAATTCAGTTTCAATAAAGCCCATAAACAAATGAATATCACATTTTAGATGTCAAATGGAATACATGTAAATTAGCTCAGTTGAATAGAGCCAAGCTAAGCCCAGATGCTTGTACAGATAATGCATAGTAAAATGTGATTAGAGGGTTTAAAGAATTAGAAATGGGTGGAAATAATTCTCTTAAACAAACTCGATTCCCAGATTGAAACTATTTGACGCAGTCTATCGACCGCTTTGAGGGAAAGATTTTGTTATATTATATTTTGCAGTTGGGTAATCTTCTAGAAAAAAACGTTTACCCTTTTTAACTAGGTCACTTTAACACGTAAACTCATCTAGGCCTATATGCTTTATTGTACTCATACATAAGATCTTCTAACATAGGAACATATATTGTGTTGTCACCATTGCCAGTTTTTTTTTCACATGCAGGGCCTTGGGCCTTACGTCTGTATCAGGTCTTAGAGTATTAAGACGACTTGTTGGACGGTGTGGCTTTTGTGAAAACATTCATACTGAACAGAACCAACTAGACAGGAACAAATAGGGAGCTAAAAGATCTGCAGGATACATTCGACCAAGAAGATTGTCAGAGGAATGTAGCAGATGAAACTCTAGTAGACATATCTATTGCCTAATTTTGGTGGACTTTGGAAATTTGTATTTCGGTCTGTAAAATTTTATTTAAAACAGGCAGTGAGAAATGTATCTTTTACAGTAGATACAAAAATTACAAATAAATATCATAACAGAGGATTGGCCAAACTTCTGGTTCCCCCCAAAACAACAACCGAACGATCCAAATGACTTTACACCACTAACTCCTAGCAATTTCTTCATCGGCATCTTTCTAACTGCAGTACAAATATAAAATACCTGATCCACCTGTTGTTAGCTTTTTATTTTAAAGACAAAATAGAACTATTATTTTGTTACACTCCGCCAATTTCATTAGATAAATCAATCTTAAATATTAAAGTTTCAGTACAATTGTTCTAGCTTCAAAAGCATCTTTATTCTGCAAACCTATAACGCGTCAAGTGCTAAGACAGCGGCAGCGTTGACCTATAGTTATCCATATGATGTAACTGACCTGGGACAGGAGGACCACAGCCGACACGACTAAGGTCGCCAGCCAGCACCGATTACAAACACACATACTGCTCAACTGTGGCAATTACTGGAACAAAGTCAGGACAGATGTCTGCCACCTGGGTACACACACGTCATCGCTCAACGACGCAACTCAACAGAAACATAATCAACTCATACCTATTGTTGTCGCGTTGGCTGAAAAATCATCTGTATTGTGCAACTGTGTAATGGATAGAGATTACCCCATTATCTTTTAATCTTGTTCTATGAAACCTTCGATTTAATAGTGGAATATTTTTACCACGTCTTCATTGTTATAACCATCGATTGTGTGTTTTGAAATCTCAAGCCAGCACATCACAAGAATCTGAGTCTATAAAAATCGAGCACTCAACTGAATCGTCAGAAATAAACAGATTACGTAGTTTTTAAATTTACTAGAATAGTTAGTTAGACTCACATTCCATAGCATGTTCAATCCGTTAGCACATTAGGAACTAAAGAAGGTTATTTAAGGATATCAGAGTTGGTTGAGGTTTTGCTAGTTTTTAAAGTCATTTTTAAATATCACCAGCAAATATCTTTGAAAACACTGTATTTAAAATAACAACTTTAAAAAGAGGTTCTAAAAAAAATTAATTTTTTACTATTAAAAAAAGGTTCTAAGAGTTTCTAAATAATATATCGTAAAAGGCCGTAAACATAATGCAATAGCCACTAAAGTAGACGGGAAACTTTTTTTTACTTTCTCCCCCTATACCATAGTATATGGAGAAAGTATTGTTTTATATTTCCCTTACTTCTATACAAATGACAAAGTACAAACTTAGTATAACTCGATATGAGCACCATTAGTGGAAATTTGACCTCTTACCAGTTTTTGGTCAGTAATTCAGGGATGTTGCACCAACACATGCGACTATTCTCTGTCAGAGGTGATTCAGATACCGAATCTGCACCGAGTATACGTCATTCTTTACTTGCCCCTAAAGGAAAAAGTCCAGAGGAGTCAAAGCCCTAGGAGGCCATTAGATTGGCCCTTCCCTGCCAATCCACCGATCATCGAATCAAGTATCTAGCGCTTCTCGCACACGCAAACTGTAGTGTGGTGGCACTCCATCCTGTTGAAAGTAGACAGGACCATTATACATCTCAATGTTATACAACTGTAGCAAACGTACTCCTCTAACATGTCTCAATACATGTCACCGTTAATTTGATGTCCCCTGAATTACTGACCAAAACCTGGGAAGAGGTCAAATTTTGCTTGGATTTATGCCGGCCCACTAATGGTGCTCATATCAAATTATACTAAGTTTGTACAAAGGGGTTTCCCGTATACTTTAGTGGCTATTGCATTATGTTTTCGATCTTTTACTTGAATAAAGATTAACGTTGTTTTAGCGAATCTCCCATATAGGGATTAGGCAATTACCTCATTGTAAAACCTCAATCTGGGACCGATTTACAATTTCGTTTTTCTACTACTTATTTTTTCGGGGGAGCGAATTGGTCTAGAGTACGGGACTTCGGTTCCAGAGGTCCCGGGTTTAAAACCCGCCAAATCAGCAATGGATTTTATCCATGTGATAATGCCGCAACCCCTAGGTCTAGCCTGAAGTAATGTGAAAAACAATTCTGGATCGTGCCTAGCGTCCTATGAAAAAAAACTATTGCGTTTTTTGAATTCCTATATATATATTTGTTACATACACATAAACTAAGAACATTTTTTTTATACTAAGTCATTAATTTTCACGAAATAAACATACTTCATTTCCCTCCCTGTAGCAGCAAACCTAGGCAACCTGATGTTTTTTTAAATAGAATTAAGTTAAAATCCAGTCAGGCAAATATTCGCTAAGCCTGCATGTTTGCTGTGGTGGGGGTAACTATCAATTCATTTTTTCGAAATTATCATGAATCGTCGTGTAGGTTTAACGTGGAAGACGTTGACGGAGAGGAACAGAAGGTGTCAATCCTGACGCCTTGTTGACGCCAGTGTTTGGCAAATGTTGACTGACAAACACACATCTCAACTTGGATAAGAAAGACGACAAGGATGTTGTCTAGCAAAGTTATCTGATTAAGGTCAATGGTGAATCAAATTAAAATTTGCCATCCATTTAATTGGATTGTAGTAATATACAGGTCTTTGGATGAAGTAACCGAACGAGTATGTTAAAACTAGCATAGTTCATGTAAGAAATCATATTTAACTTTTATTCAAACTTGTACTAAAATTTTGTGGTACTGTTTTTGTACAGTCATAAGCCCCCCTGCCCCATGTACTAATTATTTTGATTGTAGGATTTGAAACCTAACCAAATGATTTTAAAATAGGTGTTTACTATTACTATCCGAGTTAAATTGTTTGCGCTGATAGATTAGTGTAGTGAATTAAGCTGTCATCGTTTCATGAGCACACCTGTCTTCCACAGTCACTACTGAAGTATAAATATAGTTTCCACATAACTCTTTAAGTTATTTTGATCTTAACTTGATGTTTCATAAATTTCACGTAGCATGCCTATATTTATCATGTACAAATATCAAGTTTTTTTCATATTGAAATGTGCAATGTAATGCCATAGCTACTTTAATTTGTTTTCTGCCTTTACCACCTTTTTACTGGTATAAAAATAACATTTAAATTTTCAAGGTGCATTTTATTTTGAAAAAAGTGTTCCTTAAATTAATTACAGGGCTAAAATTAATTACTCCCTAATTCACTTTAAAGGGATTATCTACAGTAGTTTTACATTGATACAATATAGGGTGACTATTAAGTCTTAAGACGGCTTTATAACTTAAAAACGAAAAGAGAAACCTTAACCAAATTTTGCATATCATTACTACTACTCATTATCATTACTTTGTTGTATACATGGTGATTGGATTTCAACTTTGGGGGACGGCCCATAAGGGGTACGTTGAAAATCTTAAACGTACGCATAGGTTGATATTTACATTAAATTCAAGGTCTTGTTGAACTAAAAAACAATGCCACAAACCAGACCTAAAATACACAATCGCTGAAGTAATATTTAAAGTAAGACAGTTGATTTGCTCTTACAACAACATTGAGTTATGTGTTATGAGACAAACCAGCTGGCTTACTTTGTTGTAACAATTTATAGGGGATCAGATGATTTTAAAGAATAAATAATAACAATTTAAAGCCTGTTAACGTAATACAGTCTAACCTTGATTTAACGAACCTCGATACAACGAATTCCTTGATATAACGAATTTTCTCAAATCCCCTAGAACTCTCCATAAGACACAATGTATATTTTACCTCTACATAACGAACAAACCATAACAACTACCTTGATTTAACGAATTTTTCGTGATTTCGGCTAAAATAAGACACCTCAATATAGCGAATTAATCATTGTCAGAACCTCTACATTGCGAATTTAACCTCTGCATAACGAATTGTCTGCGTCATTCCCTCGATATAACAAATCCCCCAACCCATTATTGTTTTTGAAAAATCTGTTTCTTTATCAAATAAAATGGAAAGGTCACGTCATCGCTTGCGCTAACATTCGTCTGCTCCGTTTTACATCTTTGTCTGCTGTCGCTGCGCGCGCTATGTTGCAACTGAGAACTGATTTCATTTACTGAGTACTGATGACGACGTAATGTTTAGTAAGCTGTGATTGGGCGATATGGGATAGCTATGGTGAATTGTATAATTTTTGTATAAAGAGAAACCTAAGAAAGAATATAAAAACAAAACCAAAGAGAAAGAATAGCAACATCGTTATTTTAACATTCCTTTTACGAGTGTTTTTATTATCCTTAAGTTGGCTATGATTATACACTTTTATAATGACTTATCTAATAATTTATTGTTTTCAATACGATTTGTTTCAACTAGCAACACCTATAGTTGATGATTATTATTGGCATTCCTCTGTTGTGATAAATCAGTACTGTACTGTAAGTAGCCTTCCGGTCTATCACGAGCAGTAGCTTACAAAACTTTCTACTGTTTTGTGTTGTTCTTTACATGGTTTATGACTACGCAATACAGTGTTTGGCTAGGTTTTAGGAGGGTTAGATCAAGCTGTGATTTTAAGCTTACAGTTTTTAACCTGTACCAAGGTCAATGCCATTGTCATGATTGCGCAATATTCAAGATCCCTCCCCTTTTTTATGCCGGATAATTTAGGTTCTGCTGTACAATGTAAACACTGTACTGTAAAGTATTGTAGCCTATGCTACTTTAATTGTGTTTTAATGATGTTTAATCCCGACCTATATTGACCGACGCTGGTTCTGAACCTCGACTTAGCGAAATTCCTGCAAACATAACCTCTATATAACGAACCTCGTTTTAACGAAATACTTGATATAACGAATATTCAGTTCGGTCCCTTCAGATTCGTTATACTGAGGTTGGACTGTAGTTATTTGTGCAACTAGTGAGCAAAGGGAGCAATTGACTCACTCGAGAGAAATACTTACTCACGAGCCGTAGGCGAGTGAGGAATGATTTTTTGAGTGAGGCAATTGCACTTTGCACTCGAGTTGCACATTATATTTGTCCTACAGTTACCATAAAATAAATAAATTGGTAAAGAAACGTGACATATTTTTTACACATAAGGGAACTTTTAATATTACATTTAATGATACAACAGTACAACCAGCTGACCAGCTGATTTACAACCAGTGCTGCCTACGTATTTCGCGCACATAAGACCTTGTCTGCATGTTACGCGCTCACTATTTCGTGCCTTCACGTTGCAAATCTGGAGTGAGTGAGACAAAGTAATTTAGAGTGAGACAATGTTAACAAGTGGCTATAATGGCTATAATGTATTTAATATTGGTTTCCTAGCAATAACATATCATAGTTAATTATTTAAAAATAAAATAACTCAGCCGTTTGTTATTCGATCTCCAATAAATAGGTGTCATTTGATTTGGCATTAAATGTCCTACGTTTCGTTATTCTTGGGTTTATTTTGTAACTCTAATGGTTTTCATGTAATTTAACTTCAAATATTTTAGGTGGCTGCCATTTTGAAACAGCTTTAGTCAACGAAATGACATTATGCACGCTTGTGTACCAAACCAAGATTTACAAATTTGTCAAATTTAAAGTTTGTATCTCA